CTCAGCTATTCATTTTCCCATACTCCCACTCCCACTTAGAGAGCTGTCCTCATGCCTTCAACCTGGACCCCGACCAGGAGTCTGTAGCTATAAGAACTAACCGCTCCCTTCATGACAACAGAGCCGTGGGAGGGCACTGATGTAAATGTTTTGATTGACATCCTCCAATTCATCACCTCACCCACCATCTCCATCCTGTTCCTTCCCCCTGGTTCCCACTGCTTCCGCTGTTTGGATTATCCTGGGGTCATCGAGAAAGCAAGGTTTATTTGACCTTCCATTGCTTTGGTATCAATCGTGACTTCCTCATCTCTCCTAGGTTTTACTTTCAAATTGTATCTGAACTATTACATAACCTCCAGAGGCTAGACATTTGATTGGTGATATCAGTTCCAAATTGACCACTTTGCCAAGATTTATCTACTTATAGTATATAAGATTTTCTGGCCAGGCGGTGGTGGCACACATCTTTAATCCCAGCACTCGAGAGGCAGGTAGATCTCTGTGAGTTCGAGGCCAGCCTGGTCTAGAAGAGCTAGTTCCAGGACAGGAACCAAAAAGCTATGGAGAAACCCTGTCTCAAAAATCAATCAATCAATCAATCAATCAATCAATATATTTTCTGATATTTCAAAGTTACCCCTTCGCCCAGAACGTAAATTCAACTTGCCAGTGTGACCCAGAAATCCAAACAATTGCTTAGGACTTTATAAGTTACCAGGTTTTTTTCTTCTTGTTATGCTTTTGGTTGAAAAATGTAGAACCAATATCAAGTCACATCTGAGATGTGCCACACAGTGCTGTTTTCTGCCTCATGATTACTCTGAGTCTAACTAATACCCATGTTAGGTATCTCTCATTGTAGGACCGAGAACTTGGAGGCCACCTTTATTTCACCTCTTGAAAGACGGGATCACAGGCTTCAAGTTTGAACATATTTCTTAAAACCCATACAGACTTAACTAGGGAAGTGTGGGATCTTTAGACAAGGACTCCGGCTTCTCAGATTCGGTCCTGTAAAGTCACTCAAGTTTATGTAACTTTTTTCCTTCCTTTTCCCTTAACTCAGACTTTACTGTCTGACTTTCACTTAAGCTCCTTGGTCGTTTCCTTTTTGGCTTAAAATATAATCTTTGTTTGGCACATGAGGAACACACTTCAGGCAGGTTATTTGCCAAGTTATACAAATTTAAAACTAGAGAAGAACTAGCTCTTCGACCCGAAAATTCCCCCTATTTTTGTCGACTCTCTTTAATGGATGGTTCTGTGATCTATTCTGTTTAACAAGCATCGCTCCACTCAGCTTAGTGGCTTTTGCTTCCAGTTCCATCAGACAGACAGTGGGCCAGGCTTAACTGATCTCAGCTGGACTCATTTATGCTAAGGAACCGATTAACTCTGTTCGTGTGTCTGTCTGGTGGTTGGCTGGTTGACTGTTGGCTGGGCCAACATCTGTCGTTGTCCCTCCCCCCCACAGGCCAACTCAGGCATACACGTGGGATGGCACTAGGCTTCTATTACACTACGTGGAAGCTCCTAAGGCCTCTTTAACTCAGAGATTAAATTGTGTATTTTGTTGGCCAAAATAGTTAATGTCAGTTCAGATACAAAGGATGGAGGGAGAGTTTGCAAAGTCGTATTGAAAGAGCAACAGGTACAAAGAAGAAAGCCTTGGATATCATGGTCATACCAATCTACCACACTTGGCATCTGGACTTGGCCCTCAGTGGTCATGAGTACTGGCTGCTTACTGGTCATAGGTGTCCCTCAATATGGAAAATATTGTCTCTCCAAAATTAATATGTAGGAACTTTCACCTTATGCATAACTGCATCTGGATACAGGGCCTTTAGGGGGTAATCAAGGTTAAATGAGGTCATGAAGGTTAGGCTCTAAGCCAATGGGATTGTAACCTTTTAAGAGAAGGGAGAAGGGGTGGAGAAAGAGAGAGGAAAGAGATGAGGGAGAGAATTTGTTTGTTTTTTTTTTTTGGCTTTTTTTTTGGTTTTGTTTTCTTTTGTTTTTTTATATTTCATGTTCAGCTGGTGAAGACAGTGAAGAGGCATTCCCCTTTAAGCCAATAAGCCAGGCAATGGCCCTTCACCCTTGCTGGCCTAGAAATCTATCATCCAGAATGAGAAAGTGATTTCTATTCTATAAGCCATATGCTCCACGTACTTAGTTATAGAATCCTGAGATGACTAGCAAGCTTCCTACGTGTGTGTGTGTGTGTGTGTGTGTGTGTGTGTGTGTGTGTTTATTGCTGCAGCTCAAGGGGGGACTATCTGACCCAAGAGGTTCATGAGCAGGAAAGGGGTGCAGTCTGTAGCAAATTAGTATGGATGGGGAGAAGAAAAGGCTGGTTCTCCTAACTCAAAAGCCAACAGCTACTTGCTACTATTTAAGTTCAATTCTCCTCCTAGGTCCAGGCAAGGGAGGACTTAGTAGATCTGTCTGAACCCACAGCCCCTGCCCTCTTCCAGTCTTCCTCCCCTTTTCGCAGCTCCCGCTGAAGGACACCACTTTGAAAACGCAGGTATCCTGTCTCTGAGTTACCCCTTGCTTCCAGCATCTCTACCAAAGTGATTGTTCCAGAATGACACTGGCCACCAGCGCATAATTGTGAGCATAGATGGATATTTTTAGCTGACTTACAGACTGTATAATTCTAAAAATGCGACTTTACATTCTGGTAAAGATAGCAATGATTACTATTTCCTAAGTGCTGGCTGAATGCTACGCCAAGTGTGAGGCATACATCTGATGCATTTTAATCTTCAGCATGACCATTTGAGATGGCTGCTGTTACATGGGATTTTAACTTGGAGTGTTTTCTAAATTACTCCCTATCTGGGATTTTGATCTATGGTCCTTTGCTCTAGCAACAAAAGACCCCTCTGGGCCAGAATTAAAATAGCCTTTGACACATGGCATTCAGGAAACACCTGATAAGTGTTCCAGACAAGACAGCATAGCCTTGCTTCAACTTGGAAGGTCAGGCCTCTCTGGGTTCATTACTGGGCAGCCTTGGTAGGGGAATGTAATGTTCAAGAAACTAGTCCTACTTGAGAAAAAGTGCTTTGTTGAATAACATATTTTGGCCCAGGCATACTTTTCATATTTTAAAAAAAAAATCCATTTTTTTCACGTTCAATCATTAGGACTCACTCATTTGTACAACACACATTCGTGTTTTCATCAGCACTTGTTAAGTATTTCTATAATAAGTGTGTGAGCACTGCTGGAAGGTGAAGCGTGGGCCAGCAACCACTGTCCCACTCCGTGCATCCCTGATCTCACCGGCCGGAGCCGGAAATAGGAAATCTTACAAAGGGAGGGTCCAGAAGCAGCATCAGTTCTTGGTTAGTGCCTTGGAAATGCTTTGTCTTTTTCAGTTTAGGTGGAAATGACCTCTGACTCTAAGGGAAAACCCAGGAAGGCCAGTTAAAGCTGTGTTCGTTTGGCAGTAAGCCCGAAGGCAAGGCTTAGAAAGGTAAGAGACGGGAGGCCACACACTCTGGATGTGGCCATGGATGCTTATACTTAGCTGTCTGCTCAGACAGCAAAAAGTGAGGGAGAGCCACCATGGTGTGTAGGGTGCTTCCCATTTGGTGGCTTACGTGCTGACGTTTCTTACGTGGTGAAGGGAGCTAAAACCCCAACATATGGCATCCCATATGCCTTGCCCAATGCCACCGCCAAGCTGAACTCCAACAATTTTTATATTCAGGAGATTCCAACTGAGCTTATAAAATCAGTTCATTAGGTACCCAGAATCAAGGGAGACATAGGAAGAGAACGGGGCAGGGGAGCTGGGGGGGAGAGACAGACAGCGTAATGAATGGACGTGCTTCTGAGTTCGGCTGGGTTCAAACCCGGGTTAAAATTGATGAGAAACTGCTAAGAGGTTTGAATGTTGGGACTTTGAGAAACACAGTGTTTTTGTTTTTGTTTTTTTTTTTTGTTTTTGGAAAGCCAATAATGAAGACATAATTATTTCAGTGAAAGAAACATAGCCCAATCCACCAGGAGAGTGATTACCTTGTTTATTAGTGGTTAGAAATTGAAGGCTGCCCCTGGCACTCCATGAACACCTATGGGGGCGGAAGCTCACTGGCATGGAGCCCACAATTAGCCCAACTGTTTGCACATGAAGGATTCACAGACACAGTACAAGTTCCCAGAACTTTTTTTTTTTTTTTTAATCAATGAAACAAATGAAAACAAAACCACCAAGCCAGATTGTAGTGGCCTCAAATTTGCAATCCTAACATCTGGGAGACTGAGGCAGAAAGATTATTTGTAGCTAAAGGCAGCCTGGGCTACATAGTACATCAGGGAACAGCTGGGGGAGAGGGAGAGAAAGGGAAGGAAAGATAGAGAGGGAGGGAGAGAGAGCAGTAAAGGAAGGGAGGAAGGGAGAGAGAGAGGGAAGGGCGGAGAGAGGGAGAAAGAGGATTCCTGGGTCCCAAGAATGCACAGTCTAGTCTGTTTGTATGAATTTCCATAAAATTCTACACCTTAAAGGCAACCCATGACTTTTACCTTGGCCAGAGCTGATTTTCTCTTTTTCAAGCAGGAGGCCAAGGCACGCAGGTTGCCAAGGTCACTTACCCTGCCAGGAGGTATATCACAGAGAGATGCTAGCGAAAGAGAAAGCCTAAGGGAAAGGGATTGGACTAGATGAAAACAGAAGAACCGAGCCTGGTGAACCAGCCTTGGCAGGGTGCCCAGAGCAGCTTCAGGAGAGGGTCGGAGCCCAGGCAGAGCATTTCCTGCTTTGGGTTAGAAAAATAAATCCAACCACCCTCTAAGAGGTGGTCTATTCTTCCTGTGCGCATTAGGTCATTCATTTGAAAATTGCAGGTAGTAATAAAAACACCCATCATTTGCTTAACACAGAGCTGAATGGGCAACTCCCTGACTCCCACTGTACACCTGGGTTACCCTAATGTTACTGGTGTGGGGCTGAGTTCCAGAGAGCTTCATTGTGGGCAGAGGCTCGATGCCCGTGGTTGGTTCTCCTGGAGCTCCGCTTTGCTTCCGTTTCTTTCAGCTCAAAATCTTTGGCAGGATGTAAAGGGTAAGCAGCTTCTAGGTTAGGGAGCAGTGTGTGTGTGTGTGTGTGTGTGTGTGTGTGTGCTCGCTATTGCTGGCATTAGAAAAATTCCGTCAAGGCTTCATCCTCTCCTTGCTTTTGGGAGGTCATTGGCTCCCCTCCCCCCTAGTACTTCAGCAGTTTCCCTAGCGTTCCCCAGCTCGGCCCCCAAGAGTCTAGCTGGACTTCCTTCCTGCAGCAGACAAGTGTTAGCTTTCAGTCTTATATCGAGAGCTCAAACAACCTTGGCTCCAACAGCCTTGGCCTGGGGGTGGGGGCTTTGCCTTAGATTTCCAGGCTTGGGACCGTGTAAAATTTTCCTGCTCCTTGCACAACCTGTAATAGAACCACTCCGCTTTGAACTCCGGCAGGTGTACGGTTTTACAGCGCAATATTTTCAGATAGAATTTGTCTTAATCTCTCAGTTAAGCCTCTTTATAAGCACAGAGCTGCCAAGATGACAAATGCAATTCACTTAGGGCTTGTTTGTCTAGTTAACAGTGAGTACGCAAACCAGCTTCCTGTTCACACAAAGGGTTTTCTTGTGCTGGAAATCTTCGACCAAGGGTACCTTGGCTTGGATTTTTTTTTTATAGGGAATTCACGATGTTAATTATCTATAGTACCCTGTGCACCAGGATGTGAGGTGACTTAGGAGGCAGCTGGCTAGAGCCAATCGAGTAGATGGCCTGTGTCGCTGAAAAGGACCTTTGTGTTTATACTAGGGGACTTTACAAAAGGAGCCTCAAGGAACTGGATCCTGGGCCGGGAGTGACATTAGGAAGTGGGGTGACAGACAGCACAGTGGAGGGGAAACGGAAAGATTTGCTGTGCAGATAAAACTGAGATGAAGGGCTAGAAACAGTCCAGGTCCCTGGATTCACTCTTCTGCTTCTTTCTTTCTAAAATGGGTTTCCTTCCTTCTTCTTTTTTTTCCCTTAAGAAACGTGAAAGCACTCCTGGGTTTGTTTGTTTGTTTGGTTTTTTACAGAGTATCTTTTATTTATACTTCGGCAATTTCATACACATATATGGTGTATTTTGACCATATCCAGGCAGCTCCCCAACCTCCCCTATCCAGGGCTCTCCCACCTTCATGTCCTGCTGGTAGCAGATTGAGTCCAGTTACTGCTGCCTGCTGGAATGTTCCCTGATCCTGTTGGCTGGCTTGTGTGCAGGTACACACAGCTGCAGTGAGGTCCCCAGCGTGGCGGCGATGCCGCGCTCAGCAGAGAGTGTACGCCCCACTTCCTCTCCATGCCTCAGTTCTTTCTTTCTGTTCTCTTTTCTGTGCTGTGCTCTGAGCTCTTGTGGTGGGGGAGGGGCCGTGACACAGAGGTCTCCTTTAGGCCTGTGTAGCCATCATTCCCTCTTAGCCCTTTGATCAGTTATGAGCCTGCATTATCTGTGGTCCGCAGCAGGAGTCAGGTTCCCTGCCTAAGACTTAGAGCAGCACTTGTCCATGGGCATCAACTTAAATACTTAGAAAGCAATTTGACAGTGTGTCCATTTAGCAAAAACCAAACCAAAAACAAACAAACAAACAAAAAAAACTCTAGTAGGGCCCCACCCCCACCCAGGCCTGTGACCTTCAGAACTGTGAGCTTTTGACTAGGTTCCCAATTAGGAAGGGGGGGGGGGGTCAGTTACCAAAATTCCTGCCATGCCACTATGGCATTGCTGGGCTCAAGGGGGCATCTTGCCTGGCAAGTCAGTGTCGTAGCGCTCAGAGTTTAGTTAGTACTAGAGGATATCGCTGTAAAATACAAACCTGTAAAGATGTTTTTTTCTGTAGCGGTGGTGGCAGCTCTGGGTATCAACACTGGGCTACAACCTACAGCCCCTGCACAGCTGGGCAAGCGCCCCTTCGGTGAACTGCACTCTTGGGCTTTGACGAGGCTTTTGATGTGTGCTGAACTGCTGTGGGCGGATCCTCCTGCACACTGTGAAAATGTATGACTCTCATTGGTTAATAAAGAAGCTGATTAGCTTATAGCAAGGCAGGATAAAGTTAGCAGACAATCAAACTGAGGATACCTGGGGTGAAGAAGGGTGGAGTGAGAGAGTTGAGCAAGATGGTCATGTTGGACTGAGAAAAGGTGCCAAGTCACATGGCAAAGCATGGATGAGAAATATAGGTTAATGTAAGTGTAAGAGTTAGGAAGTAACAAGCCTGAGCTAAACACTGAGTATCTATAATCTATATTAAGTCTCCAAATCAGTTATTTGAAAAGCGGCTGCCAGTTATCTGGGAACAGACAACATCTGTCTACACTGAAGTATGGACTTGGGAAGCAGCCTGGTGATAGGTTCTTACCTGGTAAGCTCAGGTACCTGGTTTTAAGCTCCACTGCCATAACACGACAAAACAAATCTAGAAAGCAGACAATGGTATCATACTCAGAGCTGCCTGGTGATTGTTGTGCTCAGTTTTGCCTATTATTTGAATGAGTATTTCTTTTTACCTCTTTATTCTTTGTTTCAGTATACAGGTGAGAATAGGGTCTTCTGTGGTGTGCCTTACTTTTGGTCAGTCTCATTAGTGTCACTGGCAGTGGGTTACAGGTATAGGCCGCCTGCCAAGTCTGGCTTCAAAGGAATTCTTGCATCTTAGGGACAAGCAGATTTGTGCTAATGTGGAATTCAAGCTCTAGGCAGCATGGTCAGGGGAAGCCCTGCATGGCTAAAGCAGGGTGTGTTAACATTTATAAAGAGTATGTGACCTAAGACTGTCCCCATGAGGGGCAGCACAGGTCACCCTAGGCCTTGGTGGGAGACAGACAGAGAGCTACACCTTGCAGAGAGAGAGCTGGGGTATAGAGTTTATTTAATGCATTATAGGGGAGGAAGGGATGGGGAGGAGAGAGGGGAAGGGGAGGGGTGATTAGAGAGAAAGGTGGAAGCTTCCTCTCCAGACAGAGAGAGCGTAGGAGAACAGACTAGAGAGGAGGCAGGAGATCTGCTTGCCTTGGTGCTTCCACCAAGTAAAGGGGAGGAGGTTGGGAGTGGGCGGGGCTTATTTCTTAGAGGACCGGTACCCAGGTGACAGACCAAGCCAGCAGATTACAACAGTGGGGAAGGAAGGATGTCACGGTAACATCCTTCATAAGACACAGGAAACTTCATAAAAGACCTAGCCCACCCTTCATGTACTGATGCCCACAGTACAGATGCCCCTTTGCCAGGGTGATTTAGGTATAAGAGTTGTGTGTTTCCCCGAGTGAACAGTGGCTTCTGTGGAACCAAAATCACAAGATAGTAGAGATAGAACCTGAAGTTCAAAACCTGTAGTTCAGTTGGGAACATCTCTGTAGAAGCTGCGTGGGAAATAGGGTGAAATTCACAAGGGGTGGGGGTTGAGGCACAGGACAGAAGTCATCAGGGGAAAAATGGCCTCTTTCTCCAGCCATTCTGATGTGGAAGCCACTGACATGAGCGGAGGCAAGTCACTGAGATATACAGACCAAGCAAGAGGGAGGGATTGTATCCTGGAGAGGGCATTAGGGCTACCTATTAATAAATTCATGTTAGAGGGCAAGGCCAAGATTTGGATTCTCTACTGGAGCCAGCGGTGGGAAAAAGCATTGTGTTTGGTCTCTGTTCAGTATCAGACTGGGTAACTCATACCTGGAGGAGTAGGCTGGTGTGAACCTGACATGGGAATGAAAGTAGGCTGGTGTGAACCTGACATGGGAATGAAAGTAGGCTGGTGTGAACCTGACATGGGAATGAAAGTAGGCTGGTGTGAACCTGACACCAGGCAGTGGGGACCCGCTGCCCATGACTATCTGCTTATTCTGTCAAACGCAATAGCAGCATCAACTGCAGAATAAGGATAGAAAGAAATAGTTCCCTTTGGTGGGAAGGTGGTGAGGAAAGGAGAGAAGATGAGGAGGAAGAAGAAAAGGAGGAGGAAAAATAGCAGGAGAATGAGAAGGAAGAAGAGGAGAGGGGAGAAGAACGAGGAAGGAGGAGGAGGAGGATGGTGAAAGAAGTTGAGGTTTTTGTCGACTCACGTCTCTTTAGTTCTAAGCCACACCATAGCATTTCAATATAGCAGTTGTGAGATCCTACCACTCTTTAAGTGTTCTCTAGTGATAACAGATTAGAAAAGTACAACCTAATGCTGCAACCAGGATAGAGCCAGGGTGCAGAAGGCGCCTATCACAAGGGAATTCATGCCATTTACAGCCATGCCCTGTATCTTCTGTAGCACCTTACACTCCACAGTCACTAATCTGTTCTGTTTCTGTTCTATTTCTGCAGTTCTGCTTTTCTTGGGGGGGGGGGAAGGACTTCTTTTTTCTTAAGACAGGATGCTATGTAGCCAAGACTGAGCTTGGAGTCACTATGTAGCCAAGACTGACCTTGGAGTCACTCTGTAGAAAAGGCTGGCCTTGAACTCTTCACCCTCCGGCCTGTTTCATCCAAGTTCTAGCATCACAGGCAATAACTACCGTGCGACACTGCCCAGCTTACAAGTTGTTATTCCTCATTCACGTTTGAAGACTGGCTTTGCCGAGAGAGAATTCTAGGTTGCTCTTCCCTTTTAATTCAGCGCTGTAAGAATTTCTCTTCGTTTCACTGAATTGTTTCTGATGAGAAATACAATGTAATTTGTGTCTTGTTCCTCTAAAGACAAAGGTGCCTTAGTTTTTGTCTTCTCTCAAGAATTTCTTTTTGTATCTATTTCTTTTCAGACTGAATGTAATATGAGAACTCTGAGAGGGTTATTTTGCATTCATTTGGTCTTTTTTTTTTTTGCGAATCTGTAATTTGGTGGCCACCACTTATTTTGGAAATTACTTGACTATTTTTCAATTGAAATATTTCCAAGTTCTCTTGTATTCTAGCTAATATCCTTTTACACATCAATTTAGGGTGGCAATTTAAATATATCATAGCCACTTTGCTAGAATTTGATCAGAATAATGCTGACCCTGTGCAATAGTTTGGGAGAATTAATAGCTTCTTCATGTTGAATCTTCTGACCCCCCCCCACACACAGTACGTAACTCCCCTTGTAAATTATTTCCTTTTCCATTTGCAAGGTTGGATTTTCAGCATTAAGGTCCGGCATATGTTTTGGTAGATTCACACCCGAGAATATCTCATTATAACACGATTGTAATGATATTATGCCTTTTCTTCATCACAGTTGCATTGTTTCCCTATGCAATCCAGTTTTGCCTTGCTTTTTATCTTAGATTCTGAGAACTTGCTGAATTCATTCAGCACTCCCAGGGAGTTTTTTTGGCAAAGTGTCAGCTAGGGAGAGTTTTGTTTCTTCCTCTCTAATCTCTGTGCTTTCCTTCCTCTGGCTGGCTCATTGCACTAGCTGTGACTTCCAGCACTTTGCTGAAGAAGATGGTTGAAACTGGACAGCCTCGCTTTGTTCTCAATCGCAGTGAGAAAACACTCGGTCTGTCATCGTCGAGTGTGTTACAAGTAAGTTACATTAAGTAAATTCTTTTTTCTTCTTTGGTCAGGTCCAGGGATCAAGCAGGGGCAAGGGCTCCATTACTGAGCTACAACCCCAGCTTGAGAACAAGTTCTCAATAAGAAAGTAAGTTAGGTTTGACTTTAATTAGTTTTTAAATTGTGGAAGGATTGAATTTTGCCACATTTATCTTCTCTGCATCACCTGATAAGACTATTTGATTTTCCATCTTTAGTTTGTTGGGATGATGTATTGCATCGATTGAATGTTTTCTCAAGTTGGAAGGGTAGACAAAGAATTTCACCATGAAGCTCAGGTTGGCCTTGAACTTGCTATATAGCTAGCCTGGCCTCCAATTCTAGATCTTTTGCCACAGCCTCCAATGTGCTGAGGTTACATGTGTGTACCACCACGCTCAGCTTCTTTATCTGTTTTAGATACTGAAGCAACGTTACAGCTATAAGATGAAATTAAAGAATTCTATTTTTTGGTGGTAGATAATTTTATATTAAGCCATGTCAACATGACTAGACCATGATGCCCAGATATTTGGCCAAATATCATTTTGAATGTTTCTTCAAAATTACTTTCTACATGAGGATAAGAAAGCAAGAACTTGAATAATTTCGATAAACATTGTGATTTTTTTTCACCTTATCTTAGTTATTCTTAAGCATTTGATAAAATTTTGTTAATACAATCAACACGATTGACTCTACTTAGGTAAGTTCAAAAAGAAGATTGTGGTACAGGTGTGAGTCCACACACATGGACAGGAAGGGTGCAAGTCATTGCATGGCAAGAGGTGATGGTAATTCTCTAGGCTGCAGGCTCCAAAAGGAGAATGCCTGACTGAGGTCTTGACTCACTAGTTTGATGGGTTTGTGAAATAAAACATAAAAGATGTCCTATTGGGTTTCCATAAACCTCTTGTGGCCGGGCAATGGTGGCGCAGGCCTTTAATCCCAGCACTCGGGAGGCAGAGGCAGGTGGATCTCTGTGAGTTCGAGACCAGCCAGCCTGGTCTACAAGAGCTAGTTCCAGGACAGGCTCCAAAGCCACAGAGAAACCCTGTCTCGAAAAAAACCATAAAAAAAAAGAAAACCTCTTGTGAAGCAGAACTCAGCGGAAGGAGAGAGTCTACAAAACTGCTTTGGTCTGGTATGGATGGGAGAATGTTAACAGTACGGCTCATGTGGGTTTCAGTGAGAAGTCAAACCTGTTGATTCCTTTTGTGTTTTACCTTTAGTCTTTAAGGTTTCTGAATATCGATACTGAGTTTAGTCCTACCATGGGGGAAGGAACTTCAACCAGTCATCCAGGATCTTCCGCTGCCTGGCCTCATACTAGAGTTCTTGGTACCGAACCTCTTCTTTGTCGTGTGATGATACTCAGTCCCCTGTCCTCCCAGGCTTTGTGGTCCTGCAAGATCTGCTGCTGGCCATATCCAAGCCACACCAGGGCATAGGAATTAAGCAGGGGCATGTCTAGGGTCTCAGAATCTATCCTGGATAGTGTCCCATGGAACCAGACCCTTTCAGCTGCTTCCAACTCCTATAGCTATGGCAAGGTGCAGGAATGGTTAGAGGGAATGCACCTGTCTCCTAATGTTCCTCTCAGAGCCATGTTCTCCATCCTTCTTTTCTCCAGTTGACTTGGGCTTTGGAATAAGGACCTAGAGTGGAGTCTCTGGATTAGCTTCCCATATCCATTGACCACAGAGTCCTGAGGATAGGAAGTCAAGGTAGGCAACCTCCAAATGTGAGAACAGGATGGAAAATGTATGGAGAGAAGGGTGTATCAATAATCTTGGAGGAAAGGTTTTTGATAAAGAATAATAAAAGATGGCTAAGCTTCTTTATTAATACTTATTCACTTATTATATCCAAAGTTCAGTGCGATTTGGGACATCTGGTTAACATACATTTTTCTTATGCTGTTTGTTGAGAATAAATACATATAGAAAGGTGTGTATTCTGAATATACGGCACACCCATCCTGTAATAAGAAAGTAAGTCTCAGGCTTGCTTCTGAACACACTGTCCATTTCACTGAGCAATTCATCTCACTGCTCTAGGTCAGAGGTCAGCAAGCCTTTTCTGCCAAGCAGCTAGTAATTTAGATTTGTTTATTGTCTAATCAAATGAGAATGGCTGTATTCTAATCCACGATTCATAGACAGTAAGTGTTGAATTTCATGTAACTTTGTGTCACAAACACTGTTCTTTTTAGAGTAAGATTATTTAAAACATACAGAACGTTCAAAACCCTCAGGCCTTGCACAGGCCAGTAGCACCCGGATTTGGCCCATGGCTGTAGTTTGTCAATTTTCTTGTCTGTATTGGGAAATACATTGACTCACAGTGATCAGAACAAGTGGGGGCAAGATGTGTTCCTTTGCCTGCTGCATGAAAAAGCTATACCTCTCCCATTTTCATCCAGGTTGAAGGTGGAGAGAGCGAGAGCTAGGGCACAGACTTCATAGATTGCCCCTTGATGATCATTGTGTAAATGAGAACCGAGGTCTGGTAGGCAAGGGAGGGTTCTTCCTGCTGTGAGTGCTAGGAATGGAGCTGGGGTCCTCTGGAAGAGTAGTGTGTGTTATTAAACACTGAACCAGCTCTCGGGTCCTTAAATTGTTTTTTTCAAAGACTTGGGAAACCAATGTTTAAGATTCAAAAGGTCTGATCATGCTGACATGGGATGTGAAAAAGGAACCGGAGCCCAGCTCAGTCATGAGAGCGTGTGCTTAGCATGTACGAGTCCTTGAGTTCAAACTCTAACAGAAAGGGAGAAAGAGAGAGGGAAAACTAGTCAAAACTTTAAAGAATAAATAATTCTTACAGCAAAACTTTTTAAGATTTCCCAGACATGGGAGAAACCAGTTCAAGTAGGAAATGATCGTTCTAAAATAAAAAGGATGTGCGTGCTGGGACAGAGGTCCCAGCAGGAAATAGGACTAGTCACAAGGTTTCCCACACCTAATGAAATGATGGTTTTATGGTAAAATGAAATGAAACAAAACAAAACAAAAACTGTGTTTGTTTCAGATTCCCAGGGACCACATTTCCGAAGCTGGATACTCAACACACATTTAGCAGCCTGAGCCTTTGGTGGGAGCGCCTGGGTTGTCTGGCCATTTCCATCGAGAACATTTGCATCTGGTTTTTGTTTGGTTGGTGTTTGCTTGTTTATTTAGCAAAGAGTGACCCTTAACATTCAAATCCAATAATTCCAAGTCCTATTCTTGAATGGAAAACCACATAACAAGTGTTCTGGTAACATTTTTATATATATAGAGAGTTGCTATGTAGCTTAGGCTAGACTCTGATTTATGATTCTCTTGTCTCAGCCTCCCCACCATGGGACTACGGGCTTTGCTATCTGGTGCCAGCTTTTTTCCCATGGAATGAAGCTATCTCAACAATGATGGCAACTGAGTGAGGAAAAGAAAAGTCTGCTTTTGGCTATTTGCTCTGTGTGGCCTGGGCTGGCAAGTTACAGTTCTAATCCAAATGTCAATGCCACCTCAGCCTTATTCTAATCATATGCTTTCTAAAAGGGACACCTCAAGGCTTAGTTGCTGCTGGAAAAAAAAGCCACAGTAGCGGAAGCTCATGACCTTGTTAGGGACCTGCACTGAGGAGAATCAACTGATTATGAGCATTTTACAATTAATTGAAATGTTTTCAAATCAAATTGCTTTTACTCTTACAAAGACAGATCCAGTTAGAGAATGAATCCCAAGCTTTTTACTCCAAAATGTCAGGACCAAGACGTCCAGCCCCGGGGCAATGGCACCTTGCATCCCTCACGCCCCTCATGCCCCATCACCATGCAGCTCTAGCCCAAAGATCTTCCTTGTCTCTCTTCTTTCTCAAATCAGTCTCTATTCCACCTTCAGGAAAAGGATTTTCCGTGGGAGCCTTCCTTATCAGACTTGTTCCACGACAACGGCATAAAGATGAAAAGCTGCCCCCATTCAGGTGATTGACCAACTTGTTTGGTTCAGTGATGGCAATGTTTGGGAGCTGTAGAGTGAGCTAGGTGGTGAGTCCCAGGGGGCATGAAGGCCCTAGGCTCAGTGGATCCTAACACAAGAAAAGGAAGTGGAAAGGAGGAAGTGGGAGAGAAAAGAAGGAAGGAAGGAGGGAGGAAGGGAAGGAAGGAAGGAGAGAAGGGTTGGTTTCCATTTATTCATTGGACTTCTGTTTTGTTCTAAAATAAATATTTGTATGAAGAGCACACGGTGCACTCTACAGTTTACACAGGATGCTACCACCCCCTATTGTCTCAGCCTTGCCTGCTTAAGACAGCTCTTTTCCCTACCTGTCCCTGTAAGTAAATGGTTGTTGCCCCTGATGAAATATAGTTGTGTAGTGTGTTGTAAACTGGTACTGGTACCGCCATAAATGTCAGTGTCTTGAGCTTTTGGCCTATGACTGAGGTATATGCATACCTCTTTTGGACTCTGAGACACCTTCACTTACACACACTCGCACCCACACACTGACCACCCACACATACATGTAATTAAAGGTGAAAAACACATCTTTACAATTTTTGCACTACTTGGTGGAGTTCACCGGAGAATGACTCAGTGGTTAAGAGCACTGGCTGCTCTTCCAGAGGACCCGAGTTTTATTCCCAACACTTACAGTGTGGTTCACATCTGTCTGTAACTCTAGTTCCAAGGGATCTGATTCCCTCTCCTGGCCTCTGTGGGCAGTAGTCACACATGTGGTACATAGGTATACATGCAGGCAAAACATCTATAAGCATGGAATAAAAATAAAACAATAAAATTTCTTGGACCTGCATGACTCTGAGGTTGACCTTTCTGGGATGATGGGGAATGAGGAAAGATGCCGGGGTTGGGCGGGTCGTGTGCTCTAATGAATAAGCACCAACAGCTGGAATCGAATCTCTGGGCTCACTATTCACAGCTGAGGTAGGAGGCAGGCTAGCCCATCTCAGTAGGGTCTCTCTAGGTCACAGTCAAGCTGAAGGACGACGTTTCCTTGATATTTCCCAGGCACAGCTAGGACCAGGGACCAGGTTAAGGCTTTGTTCTTCAGAGCCTGACCTGGGGAAGGCCTTGCCAGTCTCATGGATCCAAGGCACTGGATCCTTAACATAATAGTGCTTGTGTCAATGATACACAGTGACTCGGGACCTCATCTGTTCCCCGCATGAACAAAGTATTTTGGGGATGGTTTCATCCTTGTATCCTTGTACTTGGTTGTTCTTTTATTGTTTGTCTTTTCAAGACATGGTTTCACTGTGTAACAGCTCTGGCCACTCGGAAACTCGATTTGTAGACCAGGCTGGCCTTGAACTGCCTGCTTCTGTCTCCCCAGTGCTGGGATGCTCCACCCACTGCCCAGCTGTCCTTACACTTGTTAATCGTCAAGTAAATATTATTTTGTCTTAGGCTTACAGAATTTGCCAACATTTCTTTATTCGTTTTGCTAAAGTAAAAATTCTTTACATTATCATAATGTAGAAGAAAAGAATTAGATTTGGAGAAAAAAGGACAGTGTAGCAGATAATTAAAATTTGGTCGGATTCATTCTTTCCCAGAGATGCATTCACAATAGACTGTTTCAAATTAAAGTTTCTTTGCAGTTATTGAAATGAATCCTCATTTGTGTTTTTGGGCCAATGATTTGATTTCTGCTCATTTTAAAAGTCTGTTACTTTAAAACAATTTCATCTTGCTATGCTAATACCTAGGAGCATTTGACTATAATAATGAAATGAAAGGATTGTGAATGCCAACATTTACTTAAATTGACTATATATCTCCTTATTCAATTTAACTTTCTGGATTAAAAAATAAGCTCATGATTAGTGCAAAGGTATAATTAATACTGCATATTTCTATAAATGTTTTTAGAGTATTGGAAAATGGCTTCAATTATTCATTAAATATTTTATTCCCCGAGGGTGTGTATGTGTGTGTGTGTGTGTATAAAGTGTATACAATGTTTATGCTCCTCCATGTGAGTGTGGGCATGGGTGTGTCGTAGCATACATGCAGGGGTCAGAGGACCTGTTTGTGCTGGTCTCAGCTTTCTACCTTTAGTGTGGCACCATCTCCTTGTTTGTTTGTTGTTGCTGCTGCCTATTTTTCCCACTGCTTAAAAAGCCAGGCTAGTTAGTTCGCCCTTGAGCTGAGGGGATTCAGTCGGGAACGTGAACTTTTCTCTTAGAAACTGCTCAGCGGCCAATGCCTCCCCTGATCCATAAGCCCTGGGCATTGAGAGAATTCTTGTTACCAAAATGTCCCCAGCACAGATTAGTCTATTTATGCTTAGACCAAATCCCCTCCCACCTTCCCATCTGAAGGTGACCCAGACCTGAATCAAGATCAGCTTCTTATAAAGATGGCTTTTCAGACTAACATGACTCTTCTTGATGCTAAACTCCAAGGGCTGGCATGTGGCTATGAGAGGTGGCAGGCTCAGTTAACCATTAATTAATCCCAGCTCTGCACCTCCTGTTACTTATCTCTGCTGCGCGGCTGCTTTCATGCTGAGGGCTAGTGTAAGCATTCACTAGGAAGCTGATGAAGAACTTAACAGGGGCCCGTGTGGGATATGGTGAAATTTCCTTTTTGTCTCTTTCTCCCTTCTTTTCCTCCTTATCCCCCTTAGTATCCCAGGGGCTCAAGGCAATCTCTCATAAAATAAGAAGGGGGAACCTTGGTGAGCACATTAGTACATCACAATGAGCAGACGATGACTTGTCTGAGGAACACTCCACTCTTTCCAGAAGGTAAAGACTTAGAGCTTTCTCTCACAAACTCACAGCGAGAAGATGCCAGTTCCCATCAGCACTGTTGTGTCAGGGGCAGTGAGCAGAACTTTAGGGTCACAGCTGGCCTAGCCATCTGGTGTTAATAAAGATCGTGAAGTCAAACCAAGGGTACCATGCCGCATAGGGTGATAAGAAGGTGTTAGCTGGAGAGAAGGGATATCTTTAGTCCATTCTGTAGGGCTGACACCTCAGAAAAGGTAAAAAGTGCTTCAAACTGCTTTGGGGGTCAGTACTCATGACCAATAAGTTCTGAGTTAGTCTCATCTCTGACACTAAAAAAATAAAACAGGCACAGATACACACAAACACACACACACATGAAGCTGAGGTTATGTTCAGATACAGAGGGATCATATAGCTCAGCATAAAAAACTAAATTACCTGTGAAACACTTTTTTTAAAAAATGAATTATTTTTTTTTAAATGAGTATCTAGAATCACAAAGTTGTCATAGCCCATGCAAGACTCCATTAGCTCCTTCAAAGAGAAAGGAAAAGAGAAAGGAAGGGAAGGAGGAGAGAGGAGAGGAAAGGGGTAAGGGAGAGAGGGAAAGGCGGGGCAGCACTCAGGTTTAGACACTGTCTTGTCGGTGGGCAGGGCATACAATCAGCGCTCTTTTAATAACCCTGGTCCCATCCCAGCGTGCAAGGAGCAATTGTCCATGACTCAGGGAGTAAATGTATGAAATCTGTGTGTGAAGCCTGCCTACAACTGTCTTCTTGGATTATATTCACAGGGAAATCTATGACTTATTAAAGTGTGTATTTCAGGTCCAACACCAGAGGCCAGGGCTATGAATTCACAACCACTCAGCCAATGTGAGGCCTTCCTTTATAGCAAGCAGACAGGTTCCCTGTCCCCAGACTCATCCACCCATCTACAAAATCACCATGTTTCAGGGGACTCCTCTGTGTCTACGAAGGCATTGCTGAAAATGCCGATTCCCAGGCCTGCTCTGCTTCTGAAGTCCAGTGCTGTGCTTGGGGACAGAATTCTGATACCTGTTTATTAACCTGGATGGACTACTTTGACTTGCAGCAATCTGGGCACACTCAGAAGCCCGCCAATACTGCAGCTTGCCATGAGGTTCGCTGTGAGAGTTAAGTTCAGAAAACTTCTCGTTAGTGTCCTTTGGGTAGGACATGGATCATCTGAGTGGGAAGGGTGGGAGGAGGACATGACAGGATTCTGTGCAGTCCATTAATTGCAGGTTGCCCCCCATTTGCCAATGCTGCCATGTTCTCTGCTGTGAGCAGGGCTCACAACTATGTGGTCATCCTAACAGAAGTGTGCATTTTTCTTTTATCTTTAGTCTCTCTCCTTAGGGAAAACCATCAGTGTTGTGTCTTTTCCCAGGAAGATACTGTCCAGAATCTTTTCCCAAAGGACCACAGCTCTGATTCATTTTTTAAAATTGCCTCGGCATTATTTAGTTTCTACCCTTGCTACTGCTGTAAAAATCACTTGAGAGCATATGAAAGGGCAGCCCTCATGGCTGTTTACTCTCTTGGCAAGGATTTTGCTTCCCTGTCCTCTCGCCATGCCCAGTTTGAAGCTGCCCCTCCAACACAGCTTTCATTTCCCACCTGCACTGCGCAAAGGGATACTTACCATCCTTCCATCAAAGTGTGAGGACAGTACCAAGCAAAATGCCAGCTGCCTGGTTTTGTGTCCTTCCCTCACCCACTGTTAACCAGGAGTGTCTAAAGACACAACATCTACCGCCCTGTGGCAATGTGACCACTGTTGAGTGGTGGACACTTTCAGGGTCTGCTTCTCCCCTTTCTATGGTTTTCTCCCAGCACGAACACTGTAGGCGATACTCAAATCTGTAAACTTGAACTTGACCAGTTATTTAGGCTTTGGACTCCACCTGGATGACACTAAACTTTAATTATTGTCATATAGGAAATCTACAACTCCTCATCAGAGGCCACGGGAACGCTCTTATCATCGTATACAACGGGGAGTTCTTGCAAACCTTCTGCAAGGTTTGCGTCTTCTTGGGAGAGCTGGTCACTGCGTTTAGCAACCAGCGCCTCAATCTTCTGCTCCTTTTCGGCTAACACTTCTTCGAGCTGAGTGATCTTCTCAGTTTGCAGGGAAAGCTGGGTGGACAGCTCCATGATCAGGCTGATCTTTCTGTCCCCTTCTTCCACAGGTGGGAGACCTCCATAGGGCACTTCTACCGAGCCGGATGCTGAAGCAAAGAACAAACAAACAAAAGAGGACAGTCATTTTCATCAGCGTTTCCAGAACTTGGAGAGGGAGGACGAAAGCATCTCGTTTCTCACGTTCTTGAGAGGCAGCCCAGATGTTACGTCATCCAGTTATACACACTGAAAACAGAGTCTAGATCCCGTGAGGGGAACGATTCAGGGTGCTCGTGAAAGAACTTGGAAGTCTCCGGAGAGGGACCAGAATCACTCCTCATCAACTCTTAATTATATTTATTTTTTATGTGCATTTAACTTTCAACCAACTGTGGGAATAAGCCAACCTTGAAAGACAAACCCCAGCAAGAGCCACGCCAAGGTTCATCTTTCCTTTCCCAAAGAATCATTCATAAGAGGAATGACTTAAATATAGGAAAATATGCTTGAAATTAGGTGTTTATGTGTCTGAACAACAAACCTTGCCATTTCTCCTTGTGAGGGAGATGGTCTTAGAGAAAGACTATCTTCCCAGGCCAAGCTTCAGAGTTGCCAGGAGTATAACTTGAGCCCAGGCATAGAACTGTTTGCATGGGACCCATCACAGAGGTTCAGTTCTTTTAGGCTGGCCAGCATTTTAAAATAAAACTGAGCATCCTCTAGGACATCAAAGTTTGTCCAGTGTCATGGCCCTTGGTGAATCTCTGAGCTAAGGGTGAAAATGGTTGATATGATATAACGGAGAGCCCAAGGCTTTCTCCATCCTCCAGTGGAGACAAGCTCAAGGACTGCATCTGCTATACTACCAGCCATGGGTAAACAGACTTTCTACACAAGCCAGGAGTAATGATGACTCGTGCCTGTCTTTCTAGCATTCAGGGGCTAAGACAGGAGCACCGCCATGAGTTCTAGGCCAGCTGGGCAGATAGAGTGAGACTAACTACACACACACACACACACACACACACACACATACACACACCTACTACTCCTGTAAACCCATACCTGTTATTGACCATTGGCACTTCCTTAAAGGGTCTCAGGTGGACTCAGGTGAAAACTTAAACACCCAAGGCGCAAGGATGTGCAGCATCCTTGTGGGTCACAAAAGTGACAAGGAGACACCAACCCATTCTCTAATCTTAGAAATCATGGTTGTCAAATTGCTAAATTTTTAAGACTATCTGGGAAACTTTAGTTCTCATTATGAGGAAACCTAATGCTATCATCGAAGTGTGTGATGACTTGTTCATCTCTCTCAAGGTAAAGAGCAGCAAAGAGAGCTGGAGAGACACTCAGTGGTCCAGAGCTCATAGTTCTCATCTGCATATGTGTCTGGGGGCTCAAATCTCCCTGCAACTCCAGCTCCTAGGGGGTCTAACACTGTCTTCCAGCCTACACGGTCATGGGCACACATATAACATAGATTCACACACAGAGATCAGTAACACAAACAAACAAAAAATTAAAAATAATGTATATTTTTTTTAAAAAAAAGAATAGTTAAAAGGTATCACAGTTTAAAGAATTATTTGGTTCATGGTCTCTGTAGAAGGCATATTATGCCCTCCAGCCCAGGAGAAGCTGTCCACACAGCAGGGGGATTTTCTTTCTTGCGGACATACCAGGGCCCTCCCTTTTACATCTGGCCAGAGCTGTGCTGGCAACAACAGTAACTACACATGCCCAATAAGCAACTGAATGCCGCTATATGAGTTGAGAGATGCTATCAACGTGAAAGTCATTAATTTGGGGACACTTAGCTTGGAAAAATGTGAACTGTCTCATTAACTTTTGTTGATTATTATTAAAGTAGTAATATTTTGGCTATCTTGCAGCAGAAAAAAAAAAGCATGATATTGAGATTTCTTTCATTCACGGACTCTAACTTTAAAAGTGGTGATCACACGGCTTGAGTTTGTGAAACCCTCCTACTAACCCCGTGGATTACTGCTGGGCAGGCATTTCCTGCAGGTGAAATCCGGGAACTTGCAGACTGTGCTTCTCTGCTCAGCCCCCACAGGCGTTATTTGGGGGGGAGGATTGGTCACTCTCAACGGATCATTTTCCCGTGTCCCCTGCGGGTTGAGGCAGGGAAATACAGGTTTGCTATGGGTTCTTATGGGCTGAAGGGAGGTTCAGTAGTAGTGAAAAGAAGGAGCTGGGAATGGGCAGCAGGAAAGTGGGTGGCAGAGGTTGTGAGGAAGAGCAGCAGCATCCTGGGGTGGAGAAGCCAAGCTTGGCAGCCTGGGGCGTGGAAGGTGTCTCTAGAGCTCCAGACGGTGGCCCTTGGATTAGGTTGGCCGCTACCACTTTCCAATTTGACCCCTCTGTCAAACTTTTCTCCCCACCTTGTCACAGATACAATGAAAAGTTTAGACAGTCTAAAGAGAACCGGAGTACTCAGCATTGTGTATAGATGAATATCTTGGTCGCCTGCTTCAAATGATAAAGGGCAAAACTGAGACAAGGGGAGGCCTTACCTTGGTGATATTAGATAGTATATCTGTATTCGTGCTCTGAAAGAGAGAGAGAGAGAGAGAGAGAGAGAGAGAGAGAGAGAGAGAAGAGAAGAGAAGAGAAGAGAAGAGAAGAGAAGAGAAGAGAAGAGAAGAGAAGAGAAGAGAAGAGAAGAGAAGAGAAGAGAAGAGAAGAGAAGAGAAGAGAGAAATGGAGGGAACAGTGGGCCTCGGATATTGCAACAAAGCATCACACACTAGGTGTCTTGGGCAATGGGTATTGTTTCTCATAGCTTCCAAGGTGGGACAGTCTAGGTCAGGATGGTTGGGCTCTGCAGAAGCCTTCTTGACTATAAATGGTCTCTTTCTATGTCCCTATGATGAGGTGAGAGACTGTAAGCTCAGAATCCCTTCCTCCTCATTGTCTTTGACAATGTCTTATATGTAGCTCAGGCTGTAATAAAACATGTGATTCTCCTCCAAAGTTCTGGAACTACAGGCCCGTGCAATCACATCCAAAAAGTACTTATTTTTATTCTTAAATTTTATGTGTATGGGTATTTTTTTAACATACCCATAAGCCAAGGTTTTCATCTTGGCTTCACATTTTTATTTATTTATTTTGATTTTCAAGACAGGGCTTCTCTGTAGTGTTTGGTGCCTGTCCTGGAACTAGCTCTTGTAGACCAGGTTGGCCTTGAACTCAGGGAGATCTGCCTACTTCTGCCTCCTTAGTGCTGGGATTAAAGGCATATGCCACCGCTGCCTGGCCTGTGTATGGATATTTTAACTGCATGCGTGTCTGTGTACTATGTACATACAGTCTCTACAGAGGTAAGAAGAGGGTCCCCTGGGACTACAGTTGCAAATCATTGTGAGCTGCCATGTGGGTGGTGGGAATTGAGTCCTGGTCTTCTGGAAGAGCAATCCACTCTCTTCACTGCTGAGCCATCTCTCCAGCAACCAGTGTCTGTTCCTGAGGGCAGTAATACCACCATAGGGCCCTAGTCTCATAACCTCATCCCAGCCCAGTTTCCACCACGCTCATTTCATTTTATTGTCCTGCTGGAAAGCGGCCTTCAACATCGAAGTTTTGGAAAGGCATAATTCCATCTGTGACTCAGGAAGCTGACACTTAGAAAAAGAGTAGACAAGCCCTAGAACTGAGAAAAGGGGAGCTGGCAAGACCCCTTAAGATCTACTCTCCGATGTCCCTCAGAATGAAAAGAAGATGCTGATGCGGAGACAAACTACTGGGTATGTTTGCCAAAAGGAGAATTTCTTACATGAGTAATTTCATGGTTAGGCAATCTCGTTAGACACATAACAGAAAAATATCTGCTCCGTTTCTTGGTTGGGATAAGCATGTGCTATGGTGTACACGGATAGTGATATTTTATTTGTGTTTTATAAATAAAGCTTGCCTGAAGAGCAGAAGGTAAAACTAAGTCACTAGAAGCCAGGCACTGGTGTCACACACCTTTAAACACAGGATTTGCAGACGGACCTCTGTGAGTTCAAGGCCACCATGGGTTACACTAGATCAATGCGGAAACAGATCCAGGAGGTGGTGACTCACCTTTTATCCCAGTACTAGGGAGTCACATGCCTTTAATCTCGGCACTAGAGAGGAATATAAATTGGGACAAGACAGGCGCCCACTTTCTTTCAGTCTGAGGATTTCTTAGAGGTAAGAGCTCTCTACTGGCTGGCTGCTTTGCTTTTCTGATCTTCAGGTTGAACCCCGATATCTGTGTCTGGGTTTTTATTAGCCATGCTCCATATATGTGAAGGAAAGAGGACCCCAGCTGCAGTTGCTTGCCATCTATTGTTTGAGCCAGGGTCTCATTTTTTGCACAAAATGCTGTGTAGTCCACACTAGGGAGCTTCTAGAGACTGTCATGTCTTTGCCTCCCATCTAATGGCAGGAATGCTGGGATTACCCATGTTTGCTCTCCAGGGGTTCTGGGAAGCGCTCTACCCACTGAGCCATTCTCTCAGCCCCCTACTTGTTCAAAATGGCAAAAACTTTGCGCACTTCCCCAAAGTGAGGGAACTTATACCCTAGCTGTCTTGAAGATTGTCTCAGCCACCCTGGGTAATTTTTTAACTCAACTATTAATCATTGCTTTTCATTCCGCTCAACAGTAATCTCTCCTTTGTAACAGGAAGGGACAATATTCTCCAAGGTCCCGACACCTTACATGTCCCAAATTTCAAACTCTTGCCACTTCCCCAGACTTCTGCCAGCGGATAGATAGGCCCACCTACAGAGTCATGGCTGCTTGGACATGGAGGGTCTGCCATCTGACCAAGTAACTAAGGTTTCATTCCATACCAAGAGTTTCCAAGACAGAGACAGCCACAGGCAAAAGAGCATGTCTACCTGTGAGAAAGGCACAGACCTGACCAGCTACAGCTGGAGTATGAACCTACCACACGTGCAGGAGTTTCTGTGAGCACACAACCACTTTCATTATCACCCCTGTTTTTGCCTACATTTAAAATAGAGGTGAATGGGCTGGTGGAACTATAGCTCCTTGATAGAGAGAATGCTTGCCTGCATGCACAAAGCCACAGACTCAATTCTCAGCCCCTCATTTTTGCTTTTTCTAGCAATTAGTGATTGGGCCTCTGCACACGGATCACGAAGATGATGTGATGTTGACTCCTGCAGCCATGCTATGGGACAGGGGACAGGAAGCCCTATGAAGCCTTAAAGGACAGGGGACAGGCAGCCCTATGAAGCCCTAAAGGACAGTCAGGATTAGCACGAACAAGCACCTCACCGGGACCTCACTGCAGCCGTTTATTTTTCTCTTTGTTTTCCAAGCGGATGCTGAGGCTGCCAAGTATTTACTCAATAAGAAAGACTCTTAGCGTTGAGGTGATTAAATACCTCATCCTAGAGCCACCCAGGATTACTGTTCAGCCTCCAAGACTGTGCCAGCATCCTCCTCTGAACAAATGCCCATCACTCTGAGTCACTTGGGGCCGGTTTTAAAAGCTGTGTACGCTCGTCAACAACCGCCGGGGAGTCCAGGTTCACCCCTGGTCATTCTTGGGCCTCCCAATTGGCATGCCCGTAGGCATATACCTCTCCAACTTAAATTAAAAAAATGAAGAAACAGAAACGTTACTATTCTTACTAAACATTTGTGAATGGAAATTCTCTGAAAGAAAGAAATGGTAGCCCTGCCCCACTCCCCTGTA